CCCGCACCTGCGGGAGGGCGAGGTGCTGCCGGCGGCGGCGGCGGCGGCGGACGGAGTCGCCTCCCGCTCTCCCCTTAAACTAGTTGTCGTCTAGTGACTGGCTTTTGGTTTTATCATATATTCTTGTATTCTGTCTGTCAGACCCTCTGCTACGCGCCGGGATGCCATAGTTATGAGAGAGGTGGACAGTCCAATAATCACCCTCAATCCGTACAAAAAAAGCTACGGGAAAGTTTGACACTGAGGCCTGATGTACTCCGAGTGGTAGAGAGTCAGGGGAAGGAAAACGTGCCCTCACGAAAAGGAAAAATATGTGTGGCAGTAAGATCTATTTTAGGAACGAACAAAGATCCCCGTTGACGACCGCGACAACCTCTCTGGGTGGATTCATGTCCTTGGCCGCAGGGAATTCAGAGAGGCCAGTCAACTTGGAAATAAATTATAAATGCCAGAAAAATTAAATGACGAGAAGTTAAGACACTTGATGGGAAAGATACAAAAGAGGCCCAGGGCGATGTGTGATTTCATGCCAAAGTCCTTGAACACAATTGTCCCCAGGTTGCGGTGGCGGGGATGAGGAGGAGTGAGAGCTCTTGAAAGGCGGTGGGCAGCAGAGAGGTGGGAAAGTAAGGCGGGTGGCTTGGACAAAGACACCAGGGTATCAAGAGTCCTGCTTAATGACACGTTTGTGGGACGCTGAGTAAACCAGTTTGTCATGATAAAAGCAGCCGCTGAGGAAGATTAATCAGGAACAGAGTGTGAACCCAGCCTGAAGGGCAACTATTTTCTGGTCTCCATTAATCCAGGGCTTTGAGCTTCCTTTTGAGTCAAGGAAACTCTTTCCTATCCGACTGTGTAACTCACCCCCTTCAGTGAGCTTTTACTAGAAGCCTACCTCCACCCTCCTCCTCACAAAAATCCTGAGACGTGGAATCGCCTAATAGTTAAGAACATGAGCTTTGAAGGCACGTGTCCTCAATTCCTGGCTTGATGTCACTTCACAGCTGTGTGACATTGGGCAAGAAACTAATCCCTTTATATCTCAGTTTTCCCATCTGTAGATAGTAATGGTATTGTCTACCTCATATTACTGTCCCATGTTGTATTAGTTTTCTATTGTTCCTGTAGCAAATTACCACAAAATTAGTAACTTAACACAACTCAAGTGTATGAGTATTATCTTAGTCTGTAGGTTAGAAGTCTGACACAGGTCTCATTGGGCTAAAATCAAGGCGTCAGCACGATCGTGTTCCTTTCCAGAGGAACATTCCTTGGCTCACGTCCCCCTTCCTCCACCTTCAAAGCCAGCAGCATTACATCTCTTTGACCATTCTTCTCCCTCTGACTCCGACCCAGACTGGGAAAGATACTCTGCTTTTAAAGGCCCTTGTGATTACTTTGGTCTCAACCATATAATCCAGGATAATTATCCATCTCAAGATCCTTAACCTTAATCACATCTGCAACATCCCTTTTGTCATGTAAGGTAACATATTCACAGGTTCCAGGGATTAGAATGTGAGCATCTTTGGGGTGCCATTATTCTGCCTGCCACACATACTAAGAGCCCTATAAACATTACTAATGCCCTCCTTCCTATTATTCTGGAATCTCTGTCCTCCTGGGAAAATTCAGCTCAACATTTATTTGCTTCATAAAAATTCCCCTAACTAATCACAGCCTTCTCCAGTGACTACAAATTCAATTTAGCACATTTAATCACTCCCGCAGCAGCTGTTTTAATAGTTTGCACTTGTTTTGATTAATTCTGTTTCGTAATTTGTGGGCTTTGTTTGTTTTGAACACTTGGTCCGCGGGGAACCTCAGTGTACACTGCCTGGAAAGACCAAGAAATCTCTGCTACATCCAACTACTCATTCCACCAACAAACCCCATCACAAGCCAGTGAGACATCATAAGCTCACCCCCGTTTCCTCTGTCTTGGCCGTACAGGAGAATCCAGACCCCTCTGAATAATCCCACTTCCTTGTGCTTCGTGAATATGCAGGTACAGAAAATCTCTTCCCAAATCCACCAGCACTGTCACACCATGTTAAGGTCCTTGAGTTCAGATGACTTTTTTAAAAATTTTTGCAACTTCCTATAGTTCCTCATAGAGTTCTACACATGGCTGAGAGAAAGCCGAAAGAGTTTTGAAACCAAACAATGCTGAAGCTCAGAAGCCATTAGAAAGAGTTCAGGATGAGTTGGAAAGGAGCATTTGAACAGGGTCTGAACAGAAGGTAGGAGTTTGATTAATCTGTGATTGGTAGTAATTAAGAATTAGAACAATATCAAACTGTAAAAAGTTAGTTTCTTCAAACTTGCTCTTTATATATTGACATTAAATAGAATATATTATAATGTGGTTGTATTCAGTTGCCTTAATAGAAACCTACAGCACTAACAGACTGATACCTGTAATTCTCTGATGCCCCCTTTTATCAAGAGCTCCAGTGTGAGAAACAATATTTACAGACTTTTATGAGAGAATACAAACTTCACTTATTCCTCTGGCTATCTAAAAACTTATCCTTGAATCCAGCCAATCTCTGTACATAGAGATTCAGCCCTTCATACCAACTGTTTTTTATTGAGTAGTCAAAAACTGAATGCTCTCCTTTGCTGACTACCTCTCCAATTACTGAGACACCATTTCCTGTGTTAGCACCCCCTAATTGCAGGTTCAGCTCCTGCGAAGGGAAGACAACCCTTTTGAAAATTTGAACCTGAACCTGAAACATAAAAAATGAGGGCAAATTTTGTCCCCTCCTCCAGAGTTCTCTCTGCAGGAAATGGCAGACTATCTTAGCTCAGCCGAAGTGCATGGCCTGAATTCATTGCTTGCAGGAGGAGGAAGGCAGGATATGTGGGCAACTGTCTCCTGTGGGGGCGTTTCTTTCCTGAGCATTCGTTTCCCAGACCTTTTCCCCTCTCTTTGCCAATCCTGACACCATCTGTCCAAACCCAGCTCCAAATGTCCCTGCTCCAGGGAGCCAGCCCTGCATAGGCACTTCTCATGCTAGGCCTGTTTCAACACCTGCCCCTAGAGATTACTTCAACATAAGCAGCAGTATCTTCCCTGCCATTCAAGATGGAAGGAAGTCCATTTACCACTTCTCCTTCTGAAACAGCTTCTGCTGGTTCCCTGTGACTTCTGACAGTTCCCTTAGTACCTGGAGGTTTGTGCTAAGAAATTAAAGCTAAATATCCTAATTCTAGATTTGAATCATGAACATAGATATAATGAATATATAAATGTGAAAGAAAAAAAAAGCCTACCCAAGGGATAAATGATTTAATCAGTCTGATCTCAGGAGGTTGGGGGAGTGGGTAGGCGGGCACACACAGACAGATTGCACATGCATGTTGAGTTATTTTCAGCAGTGGGTATTGACTCCCAGAGATACATCAGGAAGAATGGCAGGACAGGAGATGAATTCTGTGTCCAGTATGAAACTAACCAGCAAAGTAAAGATTTACCTGGTGAGTAAACTCTGTCATTAGCAACTTGTGCTTTAAGCCACTTGTCTGTAGGCTAATAACCTATCTTGGGAAAAATTGTCCTTCAGAAGGAGGCTGTAAAGTACAGCTACCTTGGCCTGACTTTTAGCTACTTCGGTTCAAATTCCAAC